GAAATTTCCAGCAGCAGAGGATAATAAGAGTATCCTTGTGGCTGCGGCTATATGAAGTCCGTAACCCCCCATCAAATACAGAACCATGTTCGGCCCAATCCCTAAGCTCGCCACCTTGGCAAGTGCCTCATTTGCTGCAACATTATGAACCAAAACCAGATTATGCCACAGAAATTAATAATGTAACAAAACCAGTAAATATGTTGTTTGGAAATGAATGGATTGGAGCAAAGTAATACCTATAATGAAGGGCATAGTGATGAAGCCACCTTTGTGTCTCTGGGTTTGAGAAAGCAGAGGAGGACGAGCCATTGTTCCGCCTTCACCTGAAGAAGAACAAGAAGAAGAACCCATGGCTTCCATCTCCGTTATAGAAGAGACAAGGAAAAAAAAGTGACAAAGTGGGAAAAAGCAGAGAACTTTACGTGCAGAGGACGATGATTATTTCAGGGATTTATGCCATGATCCATTTGGGTTTGAAGAGGTGTTGATTGAAAGATATAGGCCTGAGGTGAGACTCAAAACTGATACCAGTAATGCACTGTATGGTCCCTAAAGAAACAGTCCAAACATATCATCTTTTCTGTAGTTCAAGGGAGAAAAGAAGGGAAAAAGTGAAACTAATTGAACAAAAAGTGGGAAACGCTTGAAAGATGACATGGGGATGACAATTTTTTCTCTGTGGACACACAATGTAAGTGTGCGAAGATTGTACAGAGAATCAGGTCTCAGATTAAACTGTAATTAAACATTTAAATCTTAAATGTTACTCTCAATTTATAATTGACTTTTTTTCCCAACTGTAATGGATATTTGCAACTTTTTTAAAAAAGATTAAGAACTTAACTATTATTAATTCGTTATTTTTGGGCTTAAATATGGTACTAGTATTGATTTGAAGATATGTTGATTAATGCCCTTTTATGGTATTGTGTTTTCATGGCATGCCTAGCAGGCCAGCACATAAGGGGGGAAGTAGGTCCCACGTTGCTTTCGGTAAATTGTCTGGACGTTGCGCTTTGCCGCTTTTGTTTCACACTGGACTACGTGGATCTCTCTTCTCTTAATGAGGATGTATCTTTCTATTAATATAAAGCAGCTTAATTAATTTAGAAAAATTAATGGAATTAAATAAATTATTTTATTATAACATATGTGATATAATATCTTAAAATACTTACATAATATTATTTGATTATAAGTTATTTATAAATGAGATAACTTAGTTTTAAAAAAAATGACAAGCATGAATAATAAAATGAATTAATGTCTTGCATATAAAATTAAAACCAATTCTTTAGCTAAGGTGAGCATGGGATTACTTGGTTTTCTATTGCATCATAGTCTTAAAAAATGAATCACCAATAGTTTTATTACTCTAATGAGGTGTTTGGATGTAAACCAAACCATGATTTTAAAAATATTTTTACGGTTTATGAAATAAATATGTAGAGAAATTTATCTCATTTTACAGAAAAATACTTTTTAGAAAACTTTTAAACATTTTCAAACACCTTCCTAAATGAAATAATTTCAATCAGGGCTTCAAATAATGCGCCCACAATTCCACAAACTCTGTGCTCATGGTTCCACATTAAGCAGTGCGTACTTGCTTAAACCTCTGCAGCTGGTTCGCTGAACCGCTCGTGCTACTCGAGTTCTCTTATTTTATTCATTCTTTTGTCAGATTCATTTATTACTTTTTAGGCCTCAGTCATGATCATTTAGTGCTCTGTTCCCGGTAACGTTTTTCGTTTTGTTTTCTTATCAATTAGTACCTCTGATTCTGTTTATAAAATCTTATTTATAATTTATAAATAAAATTTTATAAATAGGACTAGAGATACTGCATGCTCAAAAGTTTAAAACTTGTTACCAATAGTACCCGATATGTCTGCAGTTGGTAGAAAAGAAAAATCAATTTGCTTACAATGTTATGTGTCTTTTTTAATTATTGTTTAAATTTTGTATTTTATGGTTTAAGAAAAATATATTACTCATGTGGTTCTTACTATAAACCCTAATTAATTAATTCAAGTAGACTAAAAATGTTAGTTAAATTAGCTAACAAGTTATACTTTTTCTAAAACATTCTAATCATCTTTCTTAATTTCTTCGTTCTATTGCCTATTTGATTATTGTTGAAAGAATATTAATAGGGTTAATTTAAGAAAAAATTGATAAATATATAAAATAAGTCTTCCATATAAGACCAACATCAACTCTTAATTTAGGCCATATATTAAAAATCAAATGAATATTACTAATTTTTATGTAATCTGTATATTAATCAGTTCTACCTAATACCGAGTCTGCTAGCAAATAGGTTGGCCCTTTTTTTCCTTTAATGTAATACATTGACTTATTTAAATGCTTATACATATTTCACGTAAATTGAGATAGTATTCTTTTTACATACCTCATATTTTGTAAATCATAATTGAAAATGAGCCTCTTACCATTGAGTTATGTAGCTAAAATTTTGGACCACTTTGTTTAGAGTTTAGACAATCGACTAGCTTCACTCTTGTTTTCATCTCCTTTCATACTCCCTCTAGTCCCTACCACAAAAGGTTGTCATGAATAAAATTTTGATCCTTATTATAAGGAGTTAACAAGGTCATTGATAAATCTTTTCCTAATTTATCCCCAATTACAAATTATTACTATCTCCGGTTTTTATAACAACTTGTTTGTCTTTTATTTTTATCCTAATTATATGATTTTAATTCACTTTGTCTTTTATATTTATTTATTTTTTAAAAGTAGTCTTTGTAATAACAATAGTTCTATCCAATACACTTGATTAATAAAAATATTTTAGGAAAGATAATACATATGTATTACAAATAACGAATTTAACTAATTTTCTTAAATCGAAATAATCAACTAGTTCTTATATTAAGGATCGAGGGTAATATTACTCATGTAAATAACTTTTCAATAACTCGTCGAAATTTGTTATGAGTATAGGTTTGAAAAATTGTATACTTTCGGTGTACATTTTATGATAGAACTATCATTTCTTAGTCTGTGTGAATTAGTTTGTTAACCCTTTATAATAAGGACCAAAGGGAGTATAATTTGTCAATTTGACATATGAAATTAATATTAATAGAAAATAATACTCCTCTAATTCTTAATATAAAGTTAACTTTGTAATGCAATTTATACTATAAAATTAGTCTTATACCAAGGACTGGAGGGAATACTATTTATAACTCAAACAATACATTTATTTTTTTAGAAAAACGTGTCAAATTTTCAATCAAAATATTTATGATATTTGCTTCATTTAGAGAGTGATACAATTGTTTGCAAGAAAATTGTTCTTTTTTGTATTTTACTAAAAACTACTGAATTAAAGTGTAAATTTGTTCTAAAAATTTTTACTCAAAAACTTTGGATATCCATAAGTTTGTTTTGGGAATAAATTTGTCATAAAAGTTTAAAATCTTGGTAATATTACCCTTTACTATAAAAAAACTAACGTTGACCGTTAAAATGTTAATATTTTTAAGGGTATAAGATAATTTTGCTACGGTTTTAAACTTCTGAGGCATATTTGCTCTCAAACAAATTCCAAATACCCAACACTCTTGAATGAAAAATTTTCAAAACAAATTTACACCTTAATCAAAAAATGTTATATTTTGGTAAACCTAGTAATAAGAATATCAACTCCATTGTTATTTCTATCAATATTATAGTCTCTAAAATATTATCTTTGAAAGATCATCCTGTGCTATTACTGCATACTGTTGATACTGATCAAACTATTATTGGAGAAGCATTCCAAGGAAAGAAAAAACAATTGTGCATTAATTTTTGCTGAAGCCTGTTTGGGAGAACTGCTGAAGTATCTAGATTTGTGATCAAAAGCTATCAGAAACGTACGTTTACAATAAGCTCGCATAAGGAGCTTATTGAAATGAAAACCGAGCTTATTGGACTGTTGGACATGTCATATGGGTTTTGTTTTTCTCACTCCTCTTCATTATTTCCAATCAGAAAAGGTCTCTCGTGTAATATTCTCTCAACCTCTGGATATATTTAAAATATTTTTTATGATTTCTTTAAACTTTAAAATTTAATTTACTCATTAAATCTCACTTTTTCATATTAAATTAATTTAAATTCATTGTATTATATAAATTTATTTTTTAATCATGTTTCACTTTATATTTAAAATATTTTTTATAATTTCTCTAAAGTTTTAAAATTTAATTCACTCATTAAATTTCACTTTTTCCTATTAAATTAATTTAAATTTATTGTACTATGTAAAATCATTTTTTTAATCATATTTGATTATTTATTAAAATTCATACCCATTTTGATAATCTAACAAACAAACTTACTTTACTTCACATTTTGACACCAAAACATTTGATTCAAATGCCAAACGATGCTTTCTCAAAAAATGTAGTGTTTGGTTTAACGTTTATACAATCTGACTTTTGGATCTCAAATGGACTTATGAAAAAAGCTAATCAATCCTGCTTTTACCGGTGGGATGTAACAGTACAGTGGAAAGGTAGCATTATTTAATTTCTTTTTAATAATAAATTAATTTCTTTATTTTAAATGATTTTATTTTCAATATTTTTTTGACAATTGTCATATTATATACATTTGATATTAAATATGTGATACCTCCGGTACCTAATACGAGAACTAGTTAATTAATTTGGAAAAACTAAGAAAGTTAAATTAGTTATTTATAATAAATAGTTGTTTTATATTTAGAATCAAATTTAATGTCAAACGAACTCTTATATTAAGAATTGGAGATAGTATTACTTAATAAAATTCATATGCTTTTTGTTCATTTTGCATATAAACTAACTTTTTCATTAGTCATCCAAACAAGTTTTAATTTCTCAAACTGACTTTTTTACAAAATCTAATCCAAACATAAATCACATTATCCTATCTGACTTTTGTAAAAATCACATTAAAAAAAAGTTACTTCTCCCACCGTTAATTCAAACACACCCTTAATTACAATCTAAATAACTTTTTACTAATCTCACTTCTACAAACTGATTTTTTTAAACTCCAATCCAAAACACAATTCACTTTACTCAATTTAACTTTTACTCAAACTCACTTTTTTAAAAGTCAAATTGAAAATAAGCTACTTTTTCTACTGGCATTAGGTTGAGCAATGCATGCGTTTCATTTGGCTTCACTGTTTGTCACACTGAAGACATCAAAGCCTAAGCGTCTGAGATATCCCACAGTTGCATGCTCCACACAGATCAAGCTTCATACATATTGCTCCATTCTTGTAATGTTGGGGTTGCAACTCCAATATTTTTCATGTCAAATAGGTTGGCTGAAAACAAAGAAAGACATTGGCCATTGCCCATTATGAAGATCTAGTGATGTAAACTTTGATTATCACAGAGTCTTTTAGGGGGGAAATTAAAAGAAAAAATAAATTGACTAAAGGGCATCTACAATCTACAACACAAAGGTATATAATGATACATGAAGGAATATTCACAAGGGGAAGGGTAGCATCCCAGAATGCAACTATGTTCTTTCTCACAGGCATACCACTGGATCATGACTTTCTCCAAGTTAAAATCAATTTTAATGGGTCCTGATCAATAGATATTAGATGTATAAGCTATTGACTGCATTATACAGCTGCAAAAACAAATAATTTCCCCTGAAATTCGAACTATATTGACCATAAAACACAAATCAACCAACCCTTGCAATAGTGAGCAACTCATTGATAAGACATACATGTCCCTCATTCGTGATCCTTGGAGAAGCGAGTGCAAAATGTGTAGAAGTGAAACGGGAAGTTTTCAAGAAACATTGACGTATAGGCAAGAATTAGGCCATAGTGCAAATATGGCTATAGTCATGCTTATTACAACAGTAATAAAAACCCGATCCTTAGCCAGAAAGTTTAGATGAATATCACAAGACACACAATTTTATCATTCTTGAATGGATTCAATAAAACACACATATAGTAGAGCTTAAAAGGAAATTGTTCTGGCCACAGTATTTTCATAAGTAAATGTTGTAAAGAAGGATTTCAACTATCTTTGATAGTTATCCCAAATAAATTTTCAGCCAATTGCAAGTCTCTTAAGCAAGTGAAAAGGACGTACCATGATGGATCTCAGGTGTGGCAGCAGCAGTGGCATCAACAATAACAGTTACAGGTTGATAGTCCAATGCTACAGCGTCATATACCGTCTGCCTGATGCAATTTGGAGTTTGAACACCTAAGAATAGTAATTTGAGAATTCAATATATGCACGCATAAAAGCATAAATAAATTCGGTTTGTTGGGTTGAACTTTTCACCAGTGACCACTAGACTATTGATCCCTGCTCCTTGAAGGAATGAATGAAGATGTGTAGCAAAAAATGCACTAAACCTAGTCTTCACCAACTTATAATCCCCTTCTTTAATTACCAAGCCATCAACTAATTCTGCACCTTCACTTCCCTTGATAGCTGGTCCGACTACCCCTGCTCCATATAAATGCCGTCGGAAGAGTTCAACATCTCTTCCTAAGGGATCGTGTTCACGTACAACCTGGAAACATTTTGCGGAAGCACCTCAAAACAAGTAATGCCTTTGGACCTTCAAATATAAAATTTGTTGACCTAACTATGAGTGCAAATAATAAACTGCTTGACAAGTATGTTTCTTTGGAACCTTTATGTTAGTTGCTCTAATAAAATGGAGCAACTTTACCCAAGAAGAAAGGAAATTTGAAAATTAATAACACAATGAAAGATACATGTCTCTTCAATTTTCTTTACTTATACAGACTCTATTTTTTTCAGTAATAAGAGATTATACAGACTCTTCAAGAGAGATGGAAACAAACATCAGCTAAGCAAATGTGCAAAACTGCTGACAGCAGTGCAGGGTATTTATAAGCTAACATGTATTGGGAAGTAAATACACGAATTATAAAACTCATTTCACAACTTTGCCTTTTTCATTTCTTCACTATTCCAACTATATATACCTTTCCTGGAAACTTCACTCAGCATTCAGGCTTCCACCAACTAAACAATTAATTCATAGCAAGGCTTGTTTCGTGAAAAAATTTCCATTTACATGCGAACCATTATCCCTCCTTCATTCCCCATAGAACATTCTGATTGGATGTTCAAATCTCTCAGGTTAACATATTGTAAATTTGTATCTTCATTATCACAGCCATAAACAACACAGTTCATCGGGTCAAAACGAAATGGCAAGAATGAAAAGTGGGCATGAATTGTGCTTACCCAAACTATGAGCATACCATGCTGCCTAGCAACTTCGACAGCCTTAACGACATTGGGGACTATCGCTTTGCCTCCTTTAACTACCACGGGGCGGCCATCTTCTATAAAGTCTCTCTGCAATAACCAAGCCCAGAGAAACTTTACTTTCGCCAAGATTCAATTATTATGTCTCATCCGTCTCACATACATTCTAGTTTGATCCTTTAAAAGTCCTTAATTTGGTCTCCAGGTACTAGTTAAAAGAGAACGGAGAGTAAGACAGAAATTTGATCCCACAGGCTAACTTCCACCAGCGTGTTTTCAATTTTGCTAGCACTCATATTGAAACTCCCCACATGCATAGCTTTTAATTTAGCAGAATTGGAGGCAAACAAGATAAAAATTTGTAGGACTAGAAAGACCCGTCACAAGCATGCATTTCGCATACAGAAGTATAATTTACACTTTGTTCAGATTAATACTACGAGGTAAGGCCTGAGTGAGGAGTGATAAGAGCATACCTGCATGTCGATGACAAGAAGAGCCGTGTTAGCCCACTTATCTGCCATTTCCAAAGGCGCAGCCTTTTGAAACTCGAGATTTGAGCGCAGAGACGAATTCCTCAAGGGATTGGGTTTACTATAGATGAGCCCACTGCACAGGCACTTGAAGCAAAAACCGAAATTAGTAAGTATATATATCACTAAGCAGTCGAAATTAGAGAAAACAGAGTGAAGAGAAGGAAATACCCAGAACGAGAATCGGGTACACTGAATTTCAGAGATGAAAAGGGCGTGAGCTTGCAGTGCGGGGGAAAACAAGATGACCCAGAAAAGGATGGGTAGGTTTTAAGCGTGGCCATCTCCTGTAACTCTCCGCGTTCCTCTTCTGATTTTGCTTTCTTCCTTTTGATTTGTTGATTTTTCAATTCTGCCAATCAACACAACCTGTTTGCCTCCCGTGTTTGGTGCCTTGAATTGGCAATTGAGAATTGCCGTGGCAGTGATAATAGATTAATAGCGAGTCCAAACATTCATGGAGGTCAGAAATGGAAATCAATGTTTTCTCACCATTTTCTGCCAACATTTTTAAAAATCAAACCATATTAAGAATCTTAAAATCATCTGGACTGGATCCATGAACATAGTGAAGAAGCGGAGAAACAAAATACCATATCATCGTTGGAAAGAATAATTAGTGTGCCCATTGGAATTGGGCTAATAACAAGCAAAATTACAAGTTCAAATTTCTCTTATAAATACTTCTGTAAGACATTTTTTGTGGTGTTAAAACCTTTCTAATAAGTAGGTTTTTTTTCCTTAAATTTGAACTTGTGTTTTCTTCTTTGCAGAATTAAAACGACTTACTATTTCAACTAATAATCTGTTGATAAAATTTTTTTTTTAAGAGAGTTTAAGAGCAATTGTGGGCTACGGCTTATGTTCACAGATTTTGGGCTTCATATGAACGAGCCCAAATATATTTAACGTCTCGCTCATTGGATTTGCTGTTTAAACAAGGAGGCTTCCGGCTTTGACCCATTTTAACGTCTTTTTTTTCGTTTAATCTCTCAAATAGTTTTTAATATAAAAGTTAATTTAATTTTTAATTAGATTTTAGATATAAAATCTCAATTTACTTTATCTTTCATATTTATCTATTTTTTCAAAGTAATCCTTATAATAGTTACACATGTTAAATGTTTAAATAGTGGTTTTAATTAATACACATGCTTAGCAAAGATATTTTAAAAGATACAACACATATTTATTACAAATTACTAATTTAACTACTTTTTTAATCTCTTCAAATTATTCAACTAGGTCCTATACTAAATATTAGATAGAGTATAATTACCACAAAATTTCATAATAAGGAAGCAACATAAAATTGTTGTCATTTCATGCACCATAATTTATCATTACAGACTGCTTATAAGAATTTTTAATAATTACATTCTTTTTTAATAATTGTAGTATCTCAGTAATTTTTTTCCTTAAAAAAAGCGTTACATGAAATTTTCAACACTTATTGCGCACGGAATAATTTTATTGATGAAAAACATATTTTGACAATTGATTTGAGATGACAAGTTTTACAATAATATTGCGAAATGAGAACAAAATCATGGCAAGGATTATACCAAAATAATATTTTAATCGCAAATGAATCGAAAAAGAAAATTAAAAAAAAAAAGTCAAGAAGACCTATTTCAATTGGGGTGTGGAATTAGTCACCAAGCACTAGAAAAGTGACACCACTTTGAAAGCACTTAAAGGAATCAAAAAGGAAAAAACATAGTAATTTCCTTTGCGTGCTTAAAATTTCTTTGTATGTGCGCAATTACATATTATTTCAATTTGTCGCAAGCATTGGTTAGCAGGGAAATAATGCAATCACAAACAAAGTGCAGTGCCCTTTTTTTTTTTCAATTTTATGAATGATTTAGCAACGAGTAGTAACATTTTATTTTTGAAATTTTTTTAATATAAAACTCATAACAATGGGCCTCTTTCGAGAGACGGCATTCTTAGTGACTTCATGTCATAACATTTCACTTAATCTCTTATCGATTAGATTCTGAACTATGTAGATACCGTTCTTTTTAAACATCTATCTCATAACAAAAGTACATTGATAATGGGTAAAGAATTAAAAAAAAGAACCCAATATCAAAAAAACTTAGCTTATCTTATGAGAAAATCTTTCAAACTTATAAACTACTAGTATATTTATAAGGCTTTTTGGAACTCAACATATTTTCAATTAATTAGGTCAAAAGAATATTTAAGAGCCACCTTAGGTGAATGGGACTATCACATAACTAATCAAAACACTCATAATCAGTACTACCTCCGGTCCTTAATATAGAATCTCTTTTGACTTTTATTTTGATCCTCAATATAAGACCCCAATCCACTTTATCTTTGATATTTAGGCATTGTTTTCCAAGATAGTCCTGTTAACAATGGTAATTATAGTCAATACACTTGATTAGTAAGGATATTTTAGGAAATACAACACCTATTTATGACAAATAACTAACTTAACTTCTTTCCTTAATCTCTTCAAATTAGTCAACTAGCTCTTATAATTAAAACCGGAGGCAGTATTATACTAGTATATTGTATAAATTAAATCTGTTAGTGGAGAAAGGTAATCACAGTCATTATCTCATTGGCTTTACTTTTCAAAGTGAAAAGGTAACATACAAACAATTATCCTGGTCAAAAAAAAAACATAAAACAATTATCCCTTCTTCAACTTTTAAGGAATAATTACAAATAAGTAAACATTGATGAAAAGTTTCATATACCTAATCCTGGATTAGGTTTTGAAATTATCATCGTTTAATATATAAAAAATTAAACAAGTAAATTTCAATAGAAAAAATCGTAAATCTTGTTAAAATATTACTGACTTTCTTACACACGCACATATATATATGTGGTGTCAAAATTTTTACGAAGTTGGATTATAAAGATGTATTGCTTTGTTTTTTTCTCTGGAAATTGTTTGAAAAGTTTGCAGATGAGGATCAACTACTTTTGTTTTCCAGCTTTACCATTTTTATTTAATTATTATTTTTATCGTGGCAAAAAGGATGTAATAAAAAACTGAAAATTGACTCACATGTTACTTGACTAATCAGCGTACATTTTTATAATTAATTAATTAATAGTACATGTGAAAGGAAAGAAACATCGTTAGTGTTTTCCACAATAACTTAAATGGGATGTAATTGTGATTAATTTATGGTTTTGAATGGATTGTAATTTGTAATTGGACATCCTAAAAAAAAAGTTATTATTTCAAAAATATATATATTATATTATATTTTATTACTATTAAATAATAATATTTTATTAATATTAAAAAAAAAGGGAAAGGGACAACACGTTGAAAACTGAACGTATTTAAGAGGGAGAGGAATTTTGGGGGAAAGCTTTTGACTGAAGGAAGAAAAATACGAAGAGAGCATTAATGAATGAAGAAAAATTGAGAAAGGACGGTGGAATTTGAACGATAAAAAATGAAAGTGATCACAAAGAATGGAAAGAAAGAGTAAGATGCGAAGAAGGAGAGACCGAGAGGAAAGAAGAGAAGTGTTAGCAGTTTGAAGAGTCATACAAGCTCTGGGAATCATATAAATATATTAAACATTTCTTTCTATTAAATTTTTCTCCATAAGTATTTCCTATATATTTAGAGCTTTATATTAGTAGTATCATTATAATGTTTAGAGAAAATTTTGTGATTTGAATATAGAGTAAGTATTGAGTTTCGAAAATATTTGACTGTAAAAATTTAAAGATTTATTATTAAGAAATTTTAATCAATTTAGATTTATCCATTTATTACCTATGGTATTTAAAATCAAATTTATTTTGTTGAAAAATCTGTCATTTATGATATATATCATATTTATACCGATTAAAATTAAGTTAAATAATTTATTTGAGTTGTTTGATATATTATTGAAATTTTAATCGGTTTATATTTGTTTATTGATTGTTTTGAGAATTTTAAACTAAGATTTTAGTTGGAAAATGTACTATTCAAGATATATAGAATGTTTTTACCAGTTAAATTTAAGTTAAATAACTTATTTGGGTTACTTAATATATTATTGATATTTTAATCGGTTTAAAATGTAAAATAGGTTAAGACTATATTATTAGAAAAATTTTGAAACTAGAAACTTAAGTTATAAATTGAGATTCTTACAATATTAGATAAAAAAATATTTTATGAATATTTATAATTTAAATGAGTTATTTGGGTAGAGAAAAATTGTTATTTGAAGTAAGAATTTTTGGATAGTAAATATATGTATAAATATTAATAATAATAAATTCTATGTAATTTAAGTTAATTATTTGTATGTATATTAAATTGTATCTATATTATTTGTAGATTATCTTGTACTTCGGAGTTTGTAATTTGTGCTCTTATTTCTCAAGCTGTGAGGTTAAATTTGAAGTAGAGGTAACCGGGGTTAATTTATTTTATATACATGTTTTGGATTGTAAGGTGTTTATTATGTTTTTATTTTCTCAAGTTAATTTGTGAAATTATGCCTGTGAATAAAGTGTATATTTTCTTACATGACAAATTTTGGTGAAGTGAGAAGTATGTTGATTTAAGTATACTTGAGTGGTGCTTTATTATAAATTTTGTTTTCTTGTGGTGCTGAATTTAATATACTAATATTATGTTATTGAAAAAAAAATGAAAATGTATCGTACTTTGTTTGAAATTATATAATCTTACTTTAAAAAATTATGAGATTATATATATATCGTGACTATGCATGGGGTTAATATGTGGAGGTTGGGATTTTGTTATGTGGAGGATAATTGTTCTTGAAGCCCACACTGCATGCCTACACTATTGATCCCAGTGTTTGGCCTTTTTGTTAGACCCATGTAGTTCTTCCTTTTACTTGGCCTGGAATTGAGAACAAACTCTTGGGTAGACACCTCTTGCACCATGGTCCATTCTTGGGCAGTGTAGGTACAAGAGGGAGCCCGTTGCTTGATGTGAGTGGGGTAACCTTTGACCTGGTTACTCAGCACAAAAAGCCCGGGTCCTTGTCAAGGAGTCATAAGAAAGAGTAAGGTGATGGGAGGGCATATTTCATTGTGTTGTTGCATATATGTACTTTCATATGAACTGTGTTGTGGATGGAGAGATATACTCTTTTTATGTGATTGTACCTATTAAAATATCATTTATTTCTTAAACTATATTTGAGTACTACTTCACCAACTTGCCATCCTACTTGTATATGTCATAAATTAATACTTGGTTACTGGGACTTTATGTCTCACCCTACTATTCATCAATGCTTTTCAAGAGAGCCATCTAGTTTGGCTCGGCGTGAAGGGAAGCAACCAAAGGCATAAGTGAACATAGCCTAGTAGTCCTCTTTTGGTTTAGGCATGTAATGTTATGTATATTGCTATCTTAGGACCCACGACTGTGTTGACATATACTTTCTTTTGTTTAGATGACTGTATTTGATGGAATGCTGTTAAAATAGCTGAAGGCCATAAGACTGTGCTGTATGTGATACTTTTATGTGTATGACTTGTGGGCTGGGTTAAGCACCCTATGTTTCTTGTGCCCTAAATCTTTGTGGGATGAATGTTATGTTGGGCTTATGGGCGGTTACTGTGCTTTGAGGCTTTGTTCTACGTGTTGTTAAACCCATGGGTGTTTTATGTATCCTGAGTCACTTGGGATGTTTTCGGAATAACCTAAACTCTTTATAACTATGATAGTATTTTAACACTCTAACTCAATTCTTTTTCTACTATGTTTATCATTTTAAAAATGGTTTTATAATTATGTATTAAGAAGAGGTTTTTTTTTTTTTCATATATCAAGTTCTTTATATCCACTATATCAAATTCTCCAATCACATATAATCATATTGTAAATTGACTTAATATTCATTAAAATACACTTTATATAAACCTTTCTACAGTATTCTTTTAGAGTATGCTTATTTCTTTCAAAGAGGATGATTAAATTACTTTTTTTAAAAAAAATTTAAGTTGCTACTTTATATAAAAATCCATATTTGAAAGAGAAATGGCTTTTGAACTGCAGGCAATATAGGCCTCATCAAATTGAATTTGTTGTTTCAGATTTAAAAATGATTTTTTTAAAAAAAACTAAAGTATACATATAATCTTTTAATTTAAAAAAGCTAAAGTATATATTTAGTCATCTAACTTTCTATAAAATTTTAATTTGACTCATTAAAGTGTATTTTTAATAATTTAATCTTAAATCGTTAGTCTTAAATAATTTTTTTTGTAACAATCACAATATTTTAAAAAATTAAACTTAATATTTTAGCATTTAAACTATACTTTTTAAAATTAAGAGAATAAAGTAAAACATTGTATAAAGTTAAAGGACTAAAATCATACTTAAATTTTTTAAGTATTGATTAATACATCATTAAAATTTAATTTAAGCAGTTCTCACAAGAGACTACATGGAGGCATAGTGATGAATAGCTTAGTGGAAAAAAAACCAAATCTCAAACCAAAATTACAGATCAATCAACAGTTTTCTTGACATATCATTTATGAAAAACATAAGTCATCTTAGTTAGATTCAGGGACAAATAAAATGAAAATGCTAGATGATGACCATGATGATGATAATTTTTGAACCTTGAACGCACATATTATATATATATATTACTACCTTCGGTCTTTAATATATAAGAACTAGTTAACTAATTTGAGTAGATTAAAAAAATTAGTTTAGTTATTTGTAATAAATAGTTGTTATTTTTTCTAACATATTTTTACCAATCATATGTATTAGTTAGAATTATCATTTGATGAAATCTTTAACATGTATAGCTATTATAAGAACTACCTTGAAAAAAAAATACAAAAAACAGAGTGAATTGGGTCTTATATTTGTACTAAACTAAAAGTCAAACTAACTACTCCTCCGGTCCTAATTATAAGACCCAATTGACTTATTTGAGGAGATTAAGGAAGTAAGTTAAGTTGGTTATTTATAATAAATAAGTGTTGTCATTCCTAAAATATTTTTGCTAATTAAGTATATTGGCTAAAACTATCATTATTAGAAGGATTATCTTGAAAAAAAATGCATAAATATAAGAAACAAAATGGATTGGGTCTTATAATTAGGACCAAATAAAAAGTCAAATTGGGTCTTATAATAAGGATCGGAGGAGTATTATATTAAGGATCGAATGCAATAAAAAAAAAAGAGGATCGAATGCAATATATAACATTATTCATATTAATTCAGTCTTGTACTAGGATAAATTGATTACTCAGGATGCAGAAGCTAGCTACGAGAACTGAATTACGCATGTGAATAGAAGGAAGAATAAATTAAAAAGCAAACCAAAGCAAAGTGGTGAACATGTAAATATGTATCATCATCATAAAAGGATTATTACACTAAAAATTATGGGTAACGTTTACATATTTATTTTTGAGATGGATTAATTTAACCTGCTTATAATTATATTCTATATATAGACTGAGCCTACGGATTTAATTAGTGAATTAAGGCTCAGATTTAATTAATGGAAAGGAGTTACTTAATTAAAAACCGCTGCGGTAAGTGGATGACCAAAAATCAGCTCCGATATTATTATGATCACTTCCAAAATGGTGGCTCACAGATATTGGCACCAAACATAATCCTCTGCTTCTCAAGTCCTTTGCCTTTTCTTCTCCATTTTCCTGATATATTAGATATTCCCATCCTCGTTATTAATAATAACAATAATAAGCAAACTGAGGCATATCAATATTATATGATTTTCATTGTCCATATATATATACACGCTACCCGGTTCTAATTATAAGAGTTCGTTGATTAATTTGAAGAGACTCAGAGAAAATATTAAGTTAGTTATTTATAATAAATATGTATTGTTTTTCCTAAAATATCCTTGCCAATCAAATGTATTGGCTAAAACTATTATTGTTAGAAGGATTACCTTAAAAAATACATAAATAGAAGAGACAGAGTGGATTGGGGTCTTATATTTAGAACTAAAATAAAAGTCAAACAAAGTCTTATATTAAGAACTGGAGGTAGTATATATTAATGTGTAAGCATCAAGGACCTTCATTAAAGTATGTGTTTGTTTTTGTATTGAAATCAAATTAAAGAAAGAAAGAATACCTGGTTTGCAATTGAAGCTCCATTTCTTTTGAGTGAAGCATCATTATTCAAGAGCTTCGCGAAGGGAACAGAAAGGACCCAAAAGCAAAACACAAGAAATCATCAGTCTGTGTGTATATATTATATATAATATTTTTCTCCTTTTTTAAATCTCACGTTATAACTTTAAAATAATAATAAAACAAAAAGATACTTTTCTCATGAGAGCATTATCTTTTTTAAAAAAGAAAGACACAAAATCACTATGAAGTCCTGAGGAAAACCAACGTAATCGACAGAAATTGTGAATAGTAAGGACTTTTATCATTTCTTGCACAAAAATTTAATAATAATAATTATTATTATTATGCATAATTTTTTTAAAAAAATAATAATAATAATAATTATTATTATGATATAATATGATAAACGGGTACCTGTCCAGGGTCCTCTGGGAATACGGAATTTCTCTCTCCATGATTCACCTGTTCATTAAACCATATCATTATATGTGCCACACTCTCACCAATAGATATATATATATATATATATATATATCACACACACACACACATATCACATTTGTGTTGGTGTGTTGTGAAAGAAGGAATAGTTTTCATGTATGGTTTTTATGCGATGCTACATATTAAACCTTTCTTCAACAAACATATATAGAGTAAACTATTAATTAAGATATTTATTTTTTCTTTGAGATTGCTTATGCATAATGTTTTTTCAAAATACATAGAAATTTTTTTGTCTACACTGATTTCAAAATAGATTAAAGATATATATACCAGAATAATTTATTCTTTTTTAAAAATAAGTTAGTGTGAATTCATAGACCAAAGGATATCCATGCAAGTTAGTGTGAATAAAAAATAATAGCAAATATATGTTGTCGATAAATTGTAATAAAACAAAATAAACTGATAGTGTATTTTTACTGTATATTTAATTTTTTATTAATTTTTGAATTTCATGCAAAATTTTTAAATATCCTTTCATTTAATCGATTCATGGATATGGAATATGTAAAGGAAAAGTACAAATACTTACAAAGTGATGATTCCTCAAGTGTTTTGATGAATTTCCGAAATAAGGAAAACAGAGAGCCTGCGGGGAATGCAAGAACAAGAAATAAGAATTCAAAAAAAAAAAACAAAAGAAACTTTCAAAATAATAAAAAATTAAATATTTTTTTTGGGAGAAAGAAACATAAAAATTGATGAAACTTTCTCTTTAATTGCGTGCTCTCGTCACTGACTCTCAAGCCTGAACAGTTTGCAGAGTTCGTACAATAACAATACCAAGAACACCTGCTTTTAGTTTTTAACTGTTTAGAGTAATTGTAATGGCAGTAAGATTTAAATTTGAGAAGAAATATGATTTATTTTATAAATTTTAATTTAGGCTTATCTTAATATTTAATATATTTTTTAATTTTAATTTTATTTTTTCTTTTTCATTCTGTTTAAATAAACTAATATATAACTGATTTACCAAAAATTGAATTCAGTGTACTATTTAGGCGGTATTTGATAAAAGTGTTTCTTAAAAGCACTTTTTCACAAAATGAGACAAACCTCTTTACATATTTATTTCGTCAACCTTAAAAGCACTTTTAAAGTCATAGAGAGTGTTTGGATAGAAATCAAATCATGATTTCAGAAGTGCTTTTACAGTTTATAAAGTAAATATGTGAAGGAATTTGTCTCGTTTTGTGAAAAAAATACTTCTAAAATCATAGTTTGGAGGTTGCCAAACACCCTCATAATTTGGTTTTTATTCAAACACTCTTTTAGTATTTACTAGACTAATTAAATTAAAAAAAATATGATGGGAGTGATAGAAATGTCACCTCAATTTGACCATGAAGGAATCTGATATATCCAATGGCTTCGAACAACACTGAAGCTGTGTCAGTCTGCACAGGCAAACCATTTCCCACTTTTGTCATCCTTTTCTTTTCCTTTTTGTTCTTTTATTTAATAGTATGCATATGCATATACATATACATATATATATCAAAAATTTAAAAAAATAAATACTAGTTTGTCTGAAGACAAAAGAAACGATAAGAACGACTTTGCTTTTTTTTTTTTTAAAAAAAAAAGGTCACTAATGTGGGATAGTATAAATTAAATTTAATTAATGAGGTGGTTACCTTTCCAAAAGGAGAAACCAGTTGGTGAAGGGCTGATATTCTATCCCCCAGCTTCTCCTTCCTCACCTGTTCATATTTTCACATCTTCCATTAATTACACCTTTAATTGCTTCGATCAGTACCACAAAGAATATTAATTAATGCTGTCTTTAATTTGATAGAGACAGCCACCTACTCTTTCATTAACGTAGTTTAACGTTTTGATTACAAGAATGAACAATATACTAGTATTAATGAAGTATAAAAAACCTCATCATATACTCTACTTCTTCCTACGCCTCGATTTATAAATTTTAAAATTAGAAAAAGATGTGGTTTATTTTATAAGTTTTAATTTAAGTTTGTCTTGATATTCAATGTATTTTTTTCTAATATTACCCTTAATTTTTTATCTTCTATCATATTTTCTCACACATTCTTTTTTATTTTTTTCTCATTTATTATAAGGACGTATTTGAAAACAAAAATATATTTCTAACCTATTTATTATTTTTAACTAATTATTTACTATTTATGAATTAGTTAGTTGAAGCTTATAATAAGAATTGGCGGCAGTACACATAGTAGTATTTTACTATTTTATATATCACAAGTTTCAGTATAGCACGAACCAGATAATAACAGGAACTTTACAAATAATACCTATTTTTTGTCCTTCAAATATAATAAGATGATGAGAGAGTGAGACAGTGAGAGAGAGAGAGATTTGTAGGTGATGACCTTGAGAGGAGGGTGGCTTGAAGTTGGTTGAACCCTAGCCTTCTTACAGATTCCCCCAGTGGCTGTGCTACACTATGTACATGGATAGATAGATCATAAGAAAAAATATTAATTAATCACTTTCAAAATACAATGTTTACATAGATGCTTAAATCAAGAAACCAGCTTGGTTGAAAGTCTTGATGATTAATATTTACCTCAGATGAGTGATCTGCGGCAGGGAGATAATTTTTCTTAGTGTCGGCCTTCTTATAAGAGAAAGAATCCCATACAGTGTTGTAGTTATTATTACTACTAGTCAAGCTAGTGACGCAGGACGACCTAGGGGAAGAAGAAACAGGACCCGCCATGTGTGACCAATTAGCTACTACTGACCCACCTGCAGATGAAGAATGAGTACCCTGAAATTCCTCACCACCACCGCCATGGCTGCCGTACAGGCAACCCTGTTGCTTTATTATTCCTTCGTCGACATGAAATCTCGACAGGGATGGATTCAGAACTTGTTCTTCCCACCTGCCCAACCTTTTTGCTTCAAAATGATCAAAACTCAGTCTCTTCTCTTCTCCTGGTGCTCCTGAGCTGCGCAAAACCAACCCAAGGAAAATTATCAGTGCCAATACTGAAGATATGCCGCATGATTAAGCTGGGTCAAAGAAAAGAGATAAGAATATGGAAGTTAATCAAGCTTCCAAACAGGCCATGAAAGCTAGCTATCTAGCTGGCATAGTTGTTGGATCAAGTTCAATAAACCATTCTATCAAACACTTGGAAGACACAGGAAGCAATTATGGAGAGCGAAGAGAGAATTACAAGACGAGTTGGCTCCAGGTGGAAGGACGAGGCTCGGAGTTTTGAGGGATCGGATTGAAAGGAATGGAAGATCCAAGAACATAAGCAGCGTCATGCATATTGCTCCACAAATTAGGGTTCCCACCCATGTCCACGATCATTTACTGAAACAGATCTCTCCTCAGTTCATGCCCGGACCTTCAGAAGAACCAGAAAACCCAGACAAGTTTTCTTGTTCTTTAATTTTCTGGGGTTTTTTTTTCCTACTTTACCTTCCTCTCTCTAACTTGCTGATATGCGATTGGGAGGAAGTCGAACAAGGAGGCTGTATATGGTATAAAGCTTTAAATTTGATCACAGTATTTTCAATTTTCTGAGAGGACCTCTTGATGAAGGAACTTGAAAGTGTTGGAGAGTCTCAGAATTTTATAGAGATGGAGAGGAAAAGACTAAACTTTGAATTGGGGCTCTTGATTTTCATGAGTTCTCTTTAAGTTCTTTCTTTCTTTCATCGAGCATTCCTTTTTGAGGATGCTTTTTCGCTTTTATTATACTAATAATAATAATAATAAAGTTGGGGTTGGAAAGAGAAAAGCTGATGGGTTGTAGACTTGCAGTGCATTAAGATTTAAGAGCTCTCTGTGAATTAATTACATCAATTAATAGGATTTAGTGGCAGCTTCATTAGCTTCCTCAATTTGGGTTTGGGGTGTATCCGTTTATGATTTTTTATGAATATATTAATATAGTGATTAGTAGGAGTTTACAACCTACTTTTAAAATATAATTTACACTATATTTAAATTGAGTGTGCAATTATAATTTATTTTAAGTGATTTCCCTTCTATGAGATATAGATCTATTAAAAAAATTTGTCTTTAAGTAAAAAGTTTTTTTTTTTAAATTAGAAGTGTAAAACAAAAGGCTTCAGAGAGGATGAGCGTGTAGATTACTCAGATCCTTCTTTCTCTCTCTTTTTAAGGGAGAATTACGATAAAGTCTCAATAAAAAAATTTAATTATTAAAAAGTTTTAATAACAAGTAATTAGTATAAATCAATTGTCATTTCTTACATTAAAACTTGTCATTGTATTGTTTTCGGTTGTCAACAAACTTTAGATTAATTAAGTCCATTTCTTGGAATATGGTTGAAATTTCCCACTTTTTTTCTTAATAGCGTACAAGTGCCTGAATTTTAAAAGATTCAAGTCTCCTTTGAAATATGATAGAAAAAAGATTAAATTAAAAAAAAATCATGAGCGTTCTCGCAACACAAGTCACAAAACATACAATCCCAATAATCATTAATATATTTCAATTTTAAAAAGTTAATGAATAATAACATGTAATTATTTACTACTTTTTATTAAAACATTAATAAATATATAAATTTGAAACGAAACCAAAGCAATAAATATGAAAAATTAATCTGTCAGTTCCTATTTTTAATCATATCCCTATAGTTTTCTTTTGTGTGTTTATAATTTTACTTGATTTTCAATCAAGTCTATACAGTTATTTTTATCAAGTACTTAATTATAATTTTATCTAATTTCTTATTATCTCCTTGTGATTTTTTTCCTATTAGGCATCTAAGAGATCTGATTAAAAATTATGTGAAACAACAAGGACATAATTAAAAATATGACAATAATTTGATTAAAAATAAAATAAAATTGTAAAATAACTATTAACAAAATTCAAGTAGAGTAGTATCATGGTAAAGAAAATACAAAGATAAAAAGAAAATCCCACAATAATACTACTTAAATTTTGAAATCTCAAATCAAGAATTTTTACAAAAATTTATTGTTATTTGTTTATTAAATAAGGTTAATAACTATTAAAGTAGATGAAATAAAACTAATTTAAATTTTGAAATTGAAGCGATGTTTTTGTGGGATTTTTTTAAAGAATAAATAACTAAAAAAAGAAAAATAAATAGATAATAACAACATGACACGTTGGGATTGTTTTTGGAGACATATCTAGCTGAGCTAGGTAGGAATAGGGTAGAGGTAGGGCCTAATAATGGTATTGAGATCAATGTCAGAATGCATAATAATAATAATAACAACAATAATAACAATTAACAAAAATAAGAGGGGGAATGTGGTGGAGGAAGCAATAATTCAGGTTCACATGTACAAACAAAAATTTGGGATCTTACTGGCTCATTATAATACTGCTCACCCAATATGACAATAATTAACAACAAGCTCCTTAGTTCAGTTCTGACACCATTAAAAATGTGCCTCTCTTTGTTTTATTTTTGTTCCGCCGAATTAATTTTATTCATTATGAGCCACAATAATTGGTTAATATAAATCATTTCTAATATGTATTACATAAAAAATTTTTAAAGTTTATTAACTCTATAATTAAATTTAACAACTTTCTAATTTTATCCTTATCTAATATACATTATAAACAATAATAAAATTAATATAATAATAATAAAAAAGAATAAAATTATGTCTTCAATGTCTTTATCATATTAATAGGATATGCAAGGATAGGAGTATTATGATAATATGGGAGAGAGAGGGGGTAGTTATGACTCGTGACTCATAGGCGTGCTAAACACACATACTCATCTGATCCTATTTATAACAGGGAGAGAAGTTTTTTTTTTATCTTATTTATATTTTATTAAATTTTTAACATAAATATACTATTTTGTTCTTCATTTATTACAGTGTAGATAGGTTTTTTTAAAAAGTATATATAATAAATAGTGATAAAGTTAAAAATTTATTATATTTCAACAGTTAAGGTATTTTAAAATTTATTTATCTGTATAAAATATATTAAAAATATTTTATAAACAAGACTAAATGAGTACATTATCAACAACAATGTACCGACAACATGAACGAACTGAGACGGCTCAAGCGCAATTTACTTAACCCACATGTATTAATCTTATTTTTTGGGGTAATCAATTACTGCCTTTTTCAAAATTTAAATTTGTATTCTTTTTTTTACAGGATGAAATTGTTTAACATGCCAAAAAATAGCTTGTTGGTTAATCTTAATTATTTTAGAAAACATCATTTTTAATCTTTAACTAATATATTAAATTTTCATGCAATATAAAATTGTGGTTATATTATTTTAACGTGATAGCCAAAATAATTAAATCGATAATTTTTTTTTTAAAATTCAAATTACATGTAAAAGTGGGTTCAAAGAAAACTACTTATGTAGTTATGTTATTGGATTTTTTTTCAATTGTAATTTTTTTTTTGTCTGAGAAAACGAAATTTCTAGCATGTGGAAGGCATTGCTTTTGGGCGGGGATAACATGAGATGACAAGGCACCGACCAGGAGAATCAGAAAGTGTAAGCATTCTGATAAATCCACAAGGAGCTTAACAATAAACAACACAACAAACCCAAAAACAATTTCATTTCCCAAATTTCAAATTTTTTCTTTTTTCCCTAAAAATTTCAAGTTGCTCCTCTCTGCTATTGGTTCTTACTGTTTGTTGAACTGAATCCTTTAAGTCTATTCATTTCACGAAAATAGTATAAAAATTATATCATTTAAGATACTTATATTCTTTTTCCTACAATTACTTTTCCTTATAATTTGGTCAAATTTAAAATTTGATGGCTGTAGTTTCAAATCATTGTATTTTATCTTATATTTTTACAGGGATTTGATTTGATTTGAATGGAAAGTCCTTATACTTTAAATGAATTTTTGTTTTGGTATCTATGCTTAGATTTAGACTAGGGGGTGTTTGGCAATCAGTTCAAAAGTACTTCTAGCCTGATTGCCAAACACTCTTTTTTTTTTTTTAAACCCAGGTCTTAGAAAAAATCATGGTTTTAGCCAGCCAAACCATGGTTTTCGTATAAGCATCCCCATTTTTGCTTTTGAAGAGTTGGAGTCATCATTATTTGTGTCAAAATCACTTAACAGTGAAAAACATCCAGTGCCTCTTCTCCCATTCCGCCTCTTTTCCAACGGTGAAATAATAATATTTTTTTGTTGGCAAAATAAATCATTTTCCTAAAAACATATTTAATTATTTTATTAATATATATACAAATTAATTTTTTATTATTTATATTATTTATGTCTTATTTATTACGTTGCCAAAATATATATCATTAACAAATTTATTACTTCAAATGAACATATATTATGAAATATATCTTATATGTAATTATCATTTAAACTTATGTCTTTTTTAGAAATTTTTATATATAAAAAAGCACTTCTGACAATAACTATCCAAATACTCTCACTTTATTAAAATCATTTTTTCAAAAAATCTATTTTCTCTATAATCTATTCTCCAAAAGCTATTTTTCAAACCATGGTTTGGCTATATCCAAATCTCCCCTAAATCTATGAATTATAAGGATCCAAATCAATAAATTAAAACTACAAAGATCAAAGTCAAAATTCGATCAAATTATAAGGGCCAATAATAATATTAACTTACCTTACGTTTGGTATGAGAGAAAGGGAAAAGAGGGGGTAAAAATTTTAATGAGCTTGATTTAAAAAATTAGAAAAGTAGAGTTAAAAGTTTTTAATTAAATTTTTATTCCTATTCTATCTTATATATTTTTTAATTAAAATTTTAAAACCCTACTATTTCAATTTTTTAAATCGAACTCATTAAAATTTTTCAACCTCCCCCGTCTCTTCCAATTCCTTCGTACCAAATCGTAAGCTTAGAGAAAATGTATTCGGAGGATCATCACCTCTAATTAGATTGGGGAAAAAAAGCTCAAATTCTAACTATACTTTACAAAATAGATATAACGTGGGGAAGTTGTGCAAGTAGACAAGTTTTGCAAATTGCCAAGTTGTTGAAACCCTTTACGCATCCGTTGTCCCGGCAATTTTTTCCCATCACAGTACGAATAGATGAAAAGGAAACATGATCCCTAATGTTCCAAAGAACAAACAAAGTTGGAATTGTTTCGCACCTTTAAATTTTCCTCTTTCTTTATTTCATAAAAAGCTTCTGGATTCCACACGCCACGTGTTGAGGGGAAGAAGATGATGATAAGAAATTGATGAGATAGAATTTGAGTTTGACCGTTGGTCTTCCACTCTCACCAACATCCTTCATCCCAAGCGGTCTCATCTAATTCCCCTTTTCTATGAATTATGAGCTTTTCATTTTAATCATGCACGGAAACAGCCAAAAAAACTTAAAGGAAAAGGGGGAAAAGAGGCTTTGACTGAATTTGACGTGTTGAAACTTTCTCCCTTCTCTGTAATCATTTAAACGGAATGAATATTATCTTAAACTAAAAAAATATTAAGAAAAAGATTGCTAAAAAACCCCTATTTAAGATTTTTATTTTTGCTTGAAAGGATTCAAATTAAATAGGTACAATTATTCTCTAATTATGTGCAACGTATCTTTAGGTATGTAAAATGCCTGTCATTTTGCACATGCATAAAAGATTAATTGCACGTAACTAAAGAATAGTTACATATTATGAATTGTAACTAAATCTCTAAACAAATTTCAATAAGAAAAATTTCAACAATTTTTTCAATATTTAATTGCTTTTAGGCCAGAGGGCGTCCAGTCTGCCCATTTAAGCTCAACATGCATCTTGCAAGGAATAGACTTGTGCCTTGCAAACTAGAATTAGCATCAGCGGTGCTTTCTTTCAACACGTGGAGTGCAAAATCCGAACCCACGTTTCAGTGAACAAGGGGCTACTACCTAATATAAGAGTTAGAAAACGGTCTTCCATGATATTAATTTTAAAAAAAAAATTAGATAACTAATTTAAAAATATTTAAAAAATTAATTAAATTCACTAGTTGTTAGAAATACATATTAATTTTCCTAAACTATCATCTTCAATCATGTGCATTAAATTATTGAAATCATTTTTTTATGGAGAGTATTTTGGATAAAAGATGATAAACAAAATAAATTGAGATTTTATATTTAAAATCAAATTCAATTTTTAACTAATTCTTATATTAAGAAATACAGCTAGTATTTAGGACATACAGTTTAGCATTTACTAGAAAAGGAAAGAAATAAATGAAAAGAAAAAGAAAAGGTGATCCGATATGGCCGAAATTGTTGAAGTTGGCTGCACGCCATATTTCCACCTCCCTGACTCCCAGAATAACAGAATTGGATTTGCATGAATAAATAAAGTAGAAAAGCAATTTGTCAGGCAGAACATAAATAAATAAATAACTACAATCCAAAACATAAGCTAAAGGTTAATCAAAAGATAGTTTTTTTTCCCTTCTCAGCTAAGATTGTGAAATCATAATTACAAATCTGGCCCAATATTCTATCAACTGAACTCAAATCACCTTCAATTATCGTCCACGATATTTTAACATTGTTCAATTCAGAATCAAGTGGATGCAAAATTAACGCCCGCGCGATAATCAACATCGAAGCAACCACATTACAAAGGAACAGAACATTATATGAATGACTATAACTTGATTTGCAAAAATAAATAAGAAAAACAGAGAGAACGGCGTGGAAACACCGGAAATTGCTACAAAATAGGATACATCACTCAATGGATGAAGAGATGCTATAAACCTATAACTACAAATCTATAATGAGATATGGATTTCTTCGTAAAAAATATATTAAGAGGGAAGCAACACAAAAGGGACAAAGAATACCACCCTGATTCTGGGTAGTGTTTTATATATCGCTAATTCTGTATGTTGATCAAATGCTCTTCAATACTATTCCGTTGTTCTCCCTGCGCATGAATCATCCATTTGTGACACCACCATTATGCCGCTGCATAGCAGCGACTGGCTCACTACACCTGGAACATCTAAATGATGGAGCAGCAGCACAGCGTGTTCGAAGACAGTAATAACAATATCTGTATTCAGAGAAATTTTGATCCTTCAATGACTATTTCTTTAATTTAAAGCATACACACAGAAAGGATACTCTCACAGATAGAAATTCCAGGTTCCATCAACATAATAGTTGGATTGTATGTCTAGAAATGCACCTGTGCTGACAAGGGAGAGCAACAAAAGGAACGGTTGGAGTAGAACGACAAATGGGGCAAATGTTGTCATCCTGATCTGAACTTGAGGATTTATCCTTCGAAAATGGTCGAAGGAGATTTCTCATAGACGATGAATTAAGAAGAGGAAGAAGCAACAGCAACATTTCCTGCCAGCAGAACAAGATATGAACTCCAAGGCGGGAAATGAGGGCAAAAAACAATTGCATATTCCTACAAACTAGAAACATAAATACTCCCTCTGATTTTTTTTATAAGTCACTCTCAGCATTTTCATCGGCACCAAGAAAAGACTTAAAACTTATTAACTCTGTCTCAAAAATAAAGAAGTTCCCAATTACACCCCCATTAAACAACTTCTTGAAAAGATGAGTGAGAAACATAAACCAATAGTATTAAACAAGGGCAATATGGAGAAAATGTAACCAACGTCCCATATGATGCCTTCTTGGAAAAAACAAAAATTTCCGCTCCAAGTGCCTTATAAAAAGGACTGGGGGAGCAATAGAGTATGAGAGTTCAACAGTGAAAACAATCCAAGGTCTAAATCTCATTTCAATCGAAATATAACCATCAGCAAGAGCAAATTTCTCATCACTATAAGCAAACGATGGGCACAATGCAGATCAACTTCAATACAGAAAACACTGAAACAAAAAGCTACTTTCAAAAGTACTGTCAAGTCACCAAGATACTAGATTTGTTGGTGAGGAAATTACCGAGAATTCATTCCAAACTAACTGCCGGTTCATATACTCAAAGCTAACAGCACGATTCATATTTGGGCTCCCATAGACAAGCCTAGCTCGTAAAGCTCTTTCAATGAGATTTCTATATCTGCTTTACATTAGCACAAGCAAAAGGAAGATTAGCATAATAGCGGAGTTTATTATGAGATGCACTCATCCTAGAGAACTCTTAGAAACAGTCAACACTAGAGAAAACCAATCACTCAATTAGAGTAGAAAATAATTGAAAATACATGAATCATAAAAATAGCATTTGATGAACAGAAATACCTTCCGGTATAAAGAAATATCAACAGGTTGCCAAATGAAGCAGCTCTATAAATTCCTTCTATACGTTGTATAAGGATCCATACCCGGCGTGCCAGTGACCTCTAAATAAAATAAAAACCAAATGAGAACTCATTTCCATCCACCTCCATCTGGAGAATAAAAGCAGCTGTCAATTTGGGGACCCAAAAAGGTAAGAAATTACCTGATCAGAATCACCCCACCGACGAAAAGCGGAAAAGGATTGAATGCGGGCCCAGATATACTGACCACCAACGGTTGCAATACAATACCAAATCTTCTGAGCAACAGTGAGTCCAGGACCCTCAAGACCGGTTCTGACTGTGGTAGTTACCATGCAAGAAACACTATAATAAGTTTGTACAGGCCATCATACCACTAGAATGAATATACTCTAATGACAATATACATGCAGTGGTTACTGGTCACTGAAAGATCAGAGTAAATTTTCCTCACTTCAGTTATTGGTTATTTTAAAGCAAGGAAAAGCCTCTCCACATGATCATATTTCAACCTTCTATTGGCGCATCATGTGAACATAATCCAGAGGAGAAGAATCACAGATGACATAGAGATTCAAGCTCAATACAAGAAAAACTTCACATCAGTGGCTTGAAAGATACATTTGAATCAACCTTAATTCGTACGTTTCACAAAATGATATTAAGAGCAAATCAGCATCTACACCATTTACAGGACAGTCATTCATAACGCTGGCAATACCAACAATAGCCTTGTGCAACTTACAGAAAACTAAATCTCTCCTTTTTAACTCAAACATATCACATATTCAACTAAATGATATTCAGACCTTCTTACCCTTTTCTCTTGGTTCAATTGCACGCTCATCTCTATACCGCAGATTCATGAGAGCAATTCCTGGAGTTGGCTTATCAACCCAAATTGAGAATCTCCAAATAAGAAACTCAAGGAAAGCATCAAGCTCAGCTTCGTACTGAAATAACATTCCTGGCTAAATCCAAAAACAACGAGAATTTAAAAGATGTTCAGAGAAGGTCCGAGATTACTACGTGGCTAAATCCAAAAACAACGAGAATTTAAAAGATGTTCAGAGAAGGTCCAAGATTACTACGTTAATTAATTTCATAACATATGAAAGCAAGACATTACTTTACCTTCATCAAAGAGAACACTTTAACCAACTGTTCCTTCAACATAGCTGACATTTCAACATCGAGCCTAGCAGCATCAACTTGGTTAACTCTTGATATAGAAATAGGAATTGTTGACTGCAGGAAATTCAACCAAACTAATCAACCGTGTGCGGGTCAGGCCCCAAAAACAAAAAAAAAAAAAAAAAAACCAACCGTGTGCGGGGACATGAACACGTATTCATCCTACAGTGAAAATTGACAATGCAAGGAAATCATATTACACAGAAAAGTAACAATCAGGCAATATAGCAGGGTCAGGCATGCTTATCATTTTGCACAACAAAAAATTACTGGACTTCATTGATGAAAGATAGACATTACTCCACGGCTCACACGCAACCGATTTTGGTGGAAGGGGAGTGGCACAAGAAACGTCAAAGAAATCGTATATTGCGTTCCAAAAGAGGAAAGGTAATTGGAAAAAAATTACCAATCAACACAGAAGGCACAGTTATGAACTTTTTTTTTTTTTGGACTCAAGTTATGAACATTAAATAACATGAAAAGCAAGAAGTTGACCGACGAAAAAGAATCAAACCCTAACTCACGAGATAAGTGGAAAATTACGGGACAGAATCCAATTGAGGAAGTGAGACTAAGTTTGGGCGGATTAGAGAGAGGGACCTGATGAGAAAGGGAATGAGATTCCCAACGAGGCAGCAGCTTGTGGCAGGTATTAAGCCAAGCATCTTCGGGTGGTGGGAGATTGTTGCTGGTCATTGTGCTTGTTGTTGATGATGATGATGATGAAGAGGCTGGCGATTCTCTGTCCATGAAGTAGATGAGCTTTGAGGGGAATGAAGAGAAAGTGTGTATGAAAGTGAGATTAGGATGCTCTGGTCACCACTGTTCTAGCCAGGCGGTTGAAGCAGAAGGATCGCAAATCAATTTTCCAGTCCGTCCAAGGAAAAAAAAAAAAGGGGAAAGAAAAGAACAGATTAAAAAAGAAAAAGAAAATTTACCTTACATTTGTAGAAATTATTAAAAACTAATTACTACTACCTCCGGTCTTAATTATAAAACCCTGTTGACTTATTTGAGGAGATTAAGGAAATAAATTAAGTTAGTTATTTGTAATAAATAAATATTATCATTCCTAAAATATCCTTACTAATTAATTGTATTGGTTAGAACTATCATTATTAGAAGGACTATCTTGGAAAAAAAATACATAAATATGAGAGACAAAATGGGTTGGGGTCTTATAATTAGGACCAAACAAAAAGTCAAATGGGATCTTATATTAAGGACCAGAGGTAGTATATTACAAATACAATCATTTTTCAAAATTAAAATTTATATAAAAAAAATTCTTAAACAATTAGCTTACTTAGTTTTTTAATCAAAGCAAAACATGTTTTAATAGTTAGTGAGCTAAAATTCAAATCACGATTAAAAGATACTCATATTTACAAGATAACAGTACTTTAAATTCAATTACTTCGAACAAAATACTTGCACAAAGAAAAAAATGAAAACATATTTATTTTATGCAGTAAAAATTAATATAAATGATTTTTTTTCCTGATGATAATACAAAGTTTTATAAAATGTTTAATACAAATTATAATATTTATGACTCATGAATAATATAATTTATTAGAGTTTCAAATGCTATGCGTAAATAATTAATAAAAATTGATTTATTAGTCGTCAGGATGCAAATCATATTTTAAGATGTAATTAATCATATACAAAACGCGGATTCATTAATAATGAACACATTACTTGCTTAAGCTCGGGATTCTTCTTGGACCCCACTTAAATACTTTTTGAATATCCGTTGATTGGTGCTAGGACGTCACAAAATCGGACGGCTCAAATGCGTCGACAGCAGGACTCGAACCTGCGCAGGCGGAAAACCCAACAGATTTCGAGTCCGTCTCCTTAGCCACCCGGACGTATTGACTGGATAATTTCCCTCTTCTGATTATTTAACTTTTTTCTTTAATTTGTTTTTTTGTTTATCTTAGTTCCGATTCTTAAATTAGTTAACGGATTTGAGTAAATTAAAAAAATTAATTAAGTTAATTATTTGTAATAAATATATATTGTCTTTTTTAAGACATTTTATTAATCATGTGTCTTGACTATAACTACTATTATTACAAGGATTATCTTAAAAAAATAAATAAATATAAAAGATAAAATGAATTAAAATTTTATATTTAAGACCAAAATAAAATTCAAATAAACTATTATATTAATGACCAAAGGTAGCATTATAATTATAATTATATCAAACAAAAAATTGCAATAAGATCCTATAAAAGAGAATTAAATACGAAAATGTTCCTTAAAATTGTCAAATTATTCTGAAGTCCTAAAAGAAAATATTTCATTTGTTTAATCACCAAATTTTCCTTATCTTTCTTTTTTAAATATGCATTAACAACTGAAAGTGCAGTCATTAATAAGTTAAGGTGTATTCCCTTCGTCTCTTATTATAAGATTCAATGTTTTAAATGGGTCTGTCTTTTTCTATAAGATCCTCTTTGAGTTTGTCTAAACATTTAATGCATTATTACCTATTTTATCCCTAATTTAATGCATTTGATACATTCTTTGTCTTCATTTATCTCACTGTTACTTTCTCACATTTACCCATTTATATATGGAGTATATTTGAAAAAATATATATTTGTTAAATATTAATTGTTTTTAACTCATTTTAACTCTTTTCTTAAACTACGCAATTTAGTTAAAAAAATCTTATAATAAGAAACAGAGGGGGTAATGATTAACAATTATTCCAAAAGATAGTGACAACTCATGCATTATATTTTTGTGATGTACTAAGAAAATATGTTGTTAGTACTTGTCAATATTAATCATTACATCTTAAATTGTCAATGACTGTTCTTTTAGTTATCAATGTATATTTTTTTAAAAAATAATAAAAATAATTTGATAATTAGAAAAATAAAATGTCGTCTTTTGAAATTTCATTTCAAAACAATTTAATGATTTTAAGGAATTTTTTTATATTTAATTCTCTACTTTATTGCAATTTTCTCCTGTATCACACCGACCAGGGAGGGAAGGTAAGGCGAGTAGTGGGCTGAATTATACATGCCTTTTGAGGCTACGTGTGATGATACGATCCAAAGGCCCATTTTGAACATCAAAATGGGGTTGTTCTTAGGCGATTCTCTGGGCTTCTGTGAATTGTTTTAAAGCTTATTTCCAGTATAATATCTGAGAAAGAAGTCTTATGAACTTTTTATTTTGACCTTGGAAGTTCTTGTGAACTTGAGAAAAGTATGTTTCTTTTTCAAATAAATCTTATTTTATATATTAACCACTGAAAAATGTTAGTTCTGAATAAATTTCAATATTGAAATTATTCTGGTCAGGAAATATTATTCAGATTATTTGGGGAAGAGTCCTTATTTTCTTAGATTATGTGAAAATTTATAAGCTTTTTTATATATATCATGATACATCGCAATTTACAAGCATCACTGTGAAATTTTCCGGGTCGACCAAAAAAACACTAATATGTGAGTGTGAATCAGCTACCGCGGTAAAACTTGTTTCAGCGTCATCCTATGATAACTACCTTCAATCCCTAATATAAGAGGTAGATAATTAATTTGGAAATATTAATAAAATTAATTAAGTTAATTATTTATAACAAATATAGGTTGGCTTTCGTAAATTATCTTCTTTAGTGAAAACAACTTATAAATAGAATATTTAGGAGAAAATTATAAATTTAAAAGATAAAATTAATTAAGATCTTATATTTAAAATTAAATTTAACCCTTCAACTGGTTCTTATATTAAGGATTAGAATTTTCTAGTTGAAGCTGCAATTCCAGAAGCTCCTATCTCATTTGTAGCTAATTACAATACGGGATACTGTATATTAGGGGTGTTCAAGACTGGCCGTCCCGTCGGCCCGTTTTGGTTCCGGTCCCGGTCTTATTGGGATGGGACGGATCCGTCTCGAAATTTTTCCGGACAAGACAAAAAAAGGGACAGGGACGGGACAAGACGACCCCGTCCCCGTCCCGGTCCCGGTCCCTTTTTTTATTTTTTTAATTTTTTATCATATTTATATAATATCATTTTTTTCATATTTTTTTTAGATTTGAGACTATTGTATGGAACTGTGGATATATGTATTTAGAGTTTTTTATATTTGTTAATGATTTGAGATTATTGATGATTAGAATTTTTAGCAAGTTTTTATTGTGGTAAAAGCTTTTGTTTAGAGTTTTTAATGATTATTATATGTAATATTTTAAGCTTTGTTTAAGAGTGCCAAACAAATAAAAAAGAAATAAAAAGATGTTTTTATAAGGTTTAAGTCAAAAAAAATAATTAAAAAAAATTAGATTTTATTAAAAAAATTTTAAAAATTTAAAAATTAAAAAATTAAAAGAAATTTTTTTAAAAAAAGTTCGGGACGTCCCGGTCTCGTCCCGGATCCGTCCCGTCCCGACCAGGACCGGGACTGGCCGGGACACGGGACAGAAAATCTGTCCGTTACTGTTCATCAGGACGGAATCGGGACGAGCCTGTCCCGTGAACAGCCCTACTGTATATCTTGCTTGCATTATTATACTCCAAACCAAGCATTTTCTCAGGATATTCTTCTTCTGTACTTCTCTGGTCTTTAATATAAGACCTATTTAATAATTTGACTAGATTTAGAAAGTTAGGTAAGTTAGTTAATTATAAAAATATGACATATTTTTTCTAAAACACCGTAATCATCTTTCTTAATATCCTTCCTTCCTTTATACTTGATTATGGCTGAGGAAGTATCCATAGGGATAATTTAAAAAATTGATAAATATAAGAAATAGATTTTATATTTAGGATTAGAATCACCTCAACAATTAAATCCTATATTAAGACTGGAGGGGTATTAGATTGTGAATGCCACAAATTCTAAATCTGACATGATTACCTTCAAATAATTATCCTTAAATAATGATAATATACATACATACACATATATATAGATAATGCACTCATCGTCTTTAACTTTTAGGAGGAGGATAAGAAAAGGGTCTTGTCATTTGTTTTTTTTCCCCCATGCTCAAATTAAATGTCAATTGTTATGATAAGGACTAATCATTTGATTAAGGACTAATAAGTCAATCTTCCCCAATGGCTGTTCTAGATCAGACCCTTGTCGAGAGCAATTAACTTTATTAACATTTGATTATTGATCTTTTAGAAAGGATAACTATAAGTCTTTATATGTGTTCTAGAATTGTCTTCATTCACACATATGATCGTATAATATACACTAAGCAGAATCAATTATGATGGTTATTTTATTACTGACTTACTATTCATTTGTTTTTCAAATTATATAATCCCACCGTCCTAAATATATAGACTGGATAACTAAATTATAAGGGATTTAAAAAACTTATTGAGTTAGTTATTTGCAAAATATATTTTTTTTTTACTAAAAAATATGTGTTGATTTTTCTAAGATATCTTTTTAATTATTTGCAATAAAAATTATATTCATATGAAAACCCTTCTCCAATATATCTAATTAATAGGAATAGTTTGAAGAAAGAAATTATGAGTATAGGAGACAAAATAAATTTATCTAACATTCAGCTTGGCTCTAAATATAAAGGTCCAATCTACTTTAACTTTACCTCTCATATTTATCATTTTTTTTAAAATAGTTTTTGTAGTAGTTGCACTTGCACATGTTAAATATTCCATCAAATGGTAAATCTAGTTAATACACATAATTAGCAAAAGCATTCTAAGAAAGATAACACAGATTTATTACAAATAACTAACTTAACAAACTTTCTTAATCTACTCAAATTAGTCATCTAATTTTATATTAAAGATCCGATGTAGTATTTAGGACCAAACCAATATGTCTGC